CTGGTAACAGTAGGTTGTTAGTAGAATAAATGGTTAAGAATTCAAAGGATCATAACCTTTGGAATTTGTTGGCCGATGGATCATCTTTTTGGTAGAATAAATAGGTTGAAGAAAGAGAGATCGAGGACCAGACGGAGAGTCGTAAACCAAGAGCTAAATTGAGAGTTGTAAACCGAGAGCTAGACTGAGATTTGTAAGCCGAGAGCTAGACAGAGAGTCGTAAGTCGAGGACCAAACTGAGAGTTGTAAGCCAAGAGTAAGACTGAGAGTCGTAAGCCGGGATAAGCTTGATGCTACCTCTTTGTTTTCTTTATTATTTGCTTATAAAGAATGGTGATTGAGAGAAGTATTGTTGAATTGATAATCGTAGAATGGATTATGGGTTGAATTAAGACAAAAGTAGTAAGCCTAGATGTTTTGTAGTTTGATATTTAATTTCAGATAGCCAGAATACAGTCAATTGTGACACTAAGAGACCCAATTCATATAACCAGTCTTTCTTCGAGTTCGAATCCACCTCTATTAGTTCAATTGTTTTGGTCTATTGAAGTTGAAACGCAATGAGAAGAATACTCCTCCATGTTAATACTTAGAAAAAAATCTCTTATTTTGCTCAAGCCCAATAGATGAGAGGACTAGACAACAAAGAAGATATTAAAAATAATATTAGTTTAAAAAAAGGAAATCTACAACTTTTAATATATTTATGTCTTATCTACACAAAGGAATAATCCAGTCTTAATTAAGAAAAGACAAGGCTCTGACATTGTAAGTATACTCTAATCAATCTATTAAAGATAAGAAATTGATAAAAATAAATAAAGAAGTATAACAAAATAGAAATAAAGAAGTATTTAAATTAAAAAAAAAATGGAATGGCTATTATCAAAAGACAAGGAAACTAGAGACTCTTGAATTTAGAGTAAAAGTAAGAAAGAAATTGACAATAGTAAAGAAGGCTTCATTCTTGCCTCTATATGTACTATCTAACTAAGAGCTAAGTGGCAATGTTCTAAAGGATCTTTAATATGTGTTGACTTTGCAAGACACATGCTTTAGCTTATAAGAAAAGTTTTCTATGTGTGTACCACATAATTAGCTTATTTTTTAAGCTACTAACATGTGTGGCACATGGCTAACTTCTCAACCATGTTTCTAATCTAAAAAATCAATTATAGACACATGTTAAGTCAAAGTAGTATCTATAAAGCTTTTAAGAAGCTTCTAGAGAAGATATTATAGAATTAATCTACTTTTACCTACTTTTATCTAATCATATAGGTAATTATTGGATTATATGTGTATGTCTGTCACACCATTGTAAGAATTGAGGTAGATATGGACTTGAAAATGTATCAAATAAATGTGAAGACAATCTTTTTGAATAAAAAATTAAAAGAAGATATCTATATAAATTAATTCTAAAGATTTGTATAATAAGGCAAAAAATATTCTATATATAAGTTAGAAAATCTTTGCATGGATTAAAAAAATTATCAAATATATAATATAAATGCATTGATACATTAATTTTTATTTTTATCAATGAAGGATTTATGAGAACAAAAGTTATTTATTCTTTGTATGTAATACAATATAAAGAGTTTTTGGAGGTTTTAATTATCTAAATTTATGATTTGATTCTTTTAATAAATAAAATAGAAAAAGTAATTGAATAAAATTTATTTAAAAGATAAAATATGAAATAAATAATATAAAAGAATTATATTTTTAGCTTTATTTTTAATTTTAAAATATTTGAGTGAATCGTATTGCACAATTATAATAAGTTAAAGCAAAATCATTAAAAAATTATTTAATAGATATAATATAAAAGAGTGCAAATCAATTAGAATTCCTCTTAAAACAAGCTTAAAGTTGATGAAATCCATAGATGATGAGTTTGTATAAGTTGAAGGTATAATACAAAGTATTTCAACCAAAGCAATTATAGTCTTATTTAAATATATAATTCTAGCCTCCAATATAGATCTTGCATGTGCTATTAGTATTGTATACCAATACGTGTCCAAGGTTGGACCTTTGCATTGGACAATCATTAAGAAGTTAATAATATACTTATTAGATATAAAATACTTCAAAATATACTTAAGTGGTAAGAATTTTAATTTATAAGATTATTATCATATATATAAGATCAAAAATATTAAAAATAGAAGATCCACAATAAAATATATATTATTTCTTGAAATGAGAGTCATTTCATAGAATTACAAGAGAAAACTAACTATTATAAGATTAATTACAGATGTTGAATATATGGCAATAGGTCATAGTACAATAGAGGCAATTTAGATAAGAAAATTTATTAGAAGATATTAGACTTGTGAAATTAAATGCAAAATTAAACATGTGTAATAATCAAAGGTATCTTGTATTTTCTAAGAATCTAAAGCACCATTCAAAAACCATATACATTAATATTCAAAATTATTTTAGAAGAAAAAAGATTGAAGATAATATTTTAGATATGAAATATTATGCCATTAAAGAGATTCTTGTTAATGTGAGTACAAAAACTTTAATAAAAGATAGACATCGCAAGTTAATAAAGACATTAAGATTTAATTACTAGCATTAAATCTTAATAAGTTGTTAATAGTCAAAATGAAAAAAAACTTAAAACAAGTTATTGAGAAAGTAATTAGGATTTTGAATAGATATAAGGTTAAGAAGAATTTAATATTTGGTTGAATGAAGTAAAATAAGATGAAGATGATTTTGGATGAAGATCATCTACAACAAATGTATTTTTTTATTTTTTTATAAGTAAAAGATGTTAGAAGTGAGAGTCATTTTATTCCATATTTTGCTTTATACGCAACTTTAGAAATTTAAATTTTAGAAATGTTTTTATATTATTTTTAATAAATCTTATATAGTATAATAGAAATTTATCTATTATAATAAATTTCATCTATCAAATTATGATGTATCTATTATGATAAGATCTTATCTATAATAAGATTTTTTAATAATAAGATCTTATCTACAATAAAATCATAATCTGCTCAATTCTATATTTAGCTTTTAAATATTAATAATTTATTGTAATAAATAATATTTAATTATTTATGATTAGTGCTTAATTTTATATACTTTAATTAAAATTTATAAAATATTCAAAAGTCATATTAAACCTCAAGTTGTATATTAATAATAAAACTATTTATTTGTAAGGTTATTTTAATACAAATCAAGTTAAAAATTTATAACATAAAAGATCTACTAATAGTCATATTTTATTATTAGGATAGGAATGGTTTTATACAATTCTAAGAGACAATATATTCTTGTTTATTCAATAATATATGAGAAATATAGAACATCAAATTATTGTAGAATAAAAATAATAACTTTTTAAAGACATTCAACTTCTATAAATAAAAGAAGTTCAAATCATGTGTGATAACCAATGATGTATATTTTTTATAGAAATAATCCAAATGACTATAAACGCACAAAGTACTTTGATATTTAGAATTATCTTATACAAGAGAAAATTGAAGTTGGAATAATAAATATGATATATGAAGCAAAAAAAAAGACAATATTGCTAATTTAATAAAAAAAAATCTTTTTAAAAAGTTAAGCATCTAAAGTTGATAAAAAAAGTATTTAAAGTTTTAATCCACTTATAACGTAGAAGTATTAAACTACCTAAAAATAATTAATAATTTTTGAATAAAAAATATATAGATTTTTTATGTTACATTAGGTTCTTAGTTAATAAAGACCTATTTCAAATAAAGTCAAATGAACAATTCAATAGCTTGGATTAAGTAATGAATAAAATAATTTGCTATAGAAGATTTTTGATTTTTGGAATGTAAAAAATGATAAAGATATAAATTAGAAAAAACCTCTAAAGATAATTTTATTTTTTTTCATAAAAAGAGAAAAAAAAGTAAATAAACAAGATGTAGATGTAAAATAAAAAACATACCAAAATAATTATTGTCAATTGCAAAGAATCTATAAGATTAGAACATAAGAAAAGTATTAACAAAATTTATAATGTCATTAATCTTGCCTCATTATATGTTAGCTACCAAAAACTTCTTATAAAAGCTTCTTGTAGACCATAAGGCTTGAGACTTAAGTGCCAAGCTGTAAAAAGCTTCTTACACAATTCCTTCAAAGTAAGAAACTTGCAAATTAAGTTTGAATCTATTTCTATGTCCTTATATTAACTTAAGTAATATAAGAATATGTTATGAAAAAGACAAAGGACATAACATTGCCGTAAGTAGATTTGGTAGGTTTTTTATAATAATAAGGTAAGTCTAAATAGAATTTAATGGCTTTATTATCTTGTTTACATAAAAATTTAATATATTATTTGTAGAAATAATTTTTTTTACAATAATAAATGAAAGAATTGATCTTATCTTTCTAAGAAGTAATATAAAAATGTTTATCATATAAAAAAAATGTCATGTAAAAGGCAAATTATATGTATTAGGTGATATTAAAATAAGATTATAATATTTGTCAATGTCACATTAGACATCAAATTATACATTGTAAAATAGAATACAAACATGTTTGAATTCTTTTATAATAATAAAATTATTCATATGAGTATTCAAAGAACATATTATCATAAGTTCTTTGTAAAAATAGAAGTAGACTTTTAAATTGCAAGTAACATAAAATATATTAATAAAAAGAAAAAAAAAAAAAAAAAAAAAAAAAAAAAACACACACGTATAATGCACACACCTTAGAAAATGTTTGATGTATGAAATTATGGATGAAATTATGATGTATCTATTACTATAATGTATCTATTATGCAGCGTGCAGCCAGATGGGGGGTGGAACGCTGGACGAGGAATGCATGCATGGATGCGTGTGCATGCATGCATGCATGCCCATGCCGCATGAACATGGAGGAGAGACTTGGGACCAGGTGTGGACTTACTCACTTATTCACTTACTTACTTCTCCACGTGTGTCTCCTTGTGACCTTCCGTTTTCTTTTCCTTTTTCCTAGGTTCCTTCGTTCCTGTGTGCCTGAAATTAATTCCCTTTGGGGTCGGGCGAGGAGAGAGGTTCTTTTCCCCGTTCTGGCCTCAGACATGATTAAGACCGCGTTGCTCAAGATTTCATTTCATTGTCGACTTAGGAGTGGCGTTTGTTGCGGGTTGGTGTCCTTTCACGATTAGTTTTCAGCTACTCTGCTTCAGTGCGCATTACCTTGAGGCTGAATTTCAGAGATCCTTCGGCACTTTTTGGTCGATCAATGGGATTCCTTGGAAGCTTCCTCAACTTGGTAGTGCCACCATCAGGTGCATTTGTGTTCACTCTAGCATTTGGGTGAAGTATGTCTGACTGATATAAGCATTTCTCAGGTGAAATACATGCTTGAAATGGTGCGGAAGTTGCTCAAATATTTTGCTGTTTCATCTTTTCCGCTGGGGTGCAGCTGCTGTGACGTTGCTGTTAGTCTGGCCGGTGCTGGCTCTCTACAAAACTATGATGTGGTGGTTGTCATGGGTATTGTATGAGGACATGCGAGGAAAAGTCGTACTAATCACAGGAGCATCATCTGGAATTGGAGAGGTAATATCGTTCTGCTTTGATCGACATTGACGATTTTGAGTGATACCTTGGAAATATATCTGGTGCATGACTTCCTTTTGTCTTGTTGCGAAACTTAAACGAATCACATACCTTGTAATCAACAGTATCTTTCGATTCCAGCTCCGCGGGTATATTTCCTTCTAGGTATGGTAATGCCTCAAGTTTCTGTCACCAGAGAATGCCGAATTTCATTTGAAGATGTACAAGTTAAAATGTATATATACTTGCACGCATACAGTCATATGTACACATATGACCTAATTAACAATCACGCACCAGCTTATTGCAAACTCTAGATAATAATGCTAAGCACACATTAAGATATCAATTACACGTCAAAATGCTTAGAATATATGGAGTACGATTGAGAATACGACCAGGAATGCAGGGACTAAAAGAAATGAGGCTTCGGGTAGCATTCAAGTAATTCATTCACAGAGGAACAGGTAGTGGAATTGCTCGTCGCCTGCCTATCCGGACCGTCTCCTTACAGAACTTGTTGCCTACAAATGTATGCCACAGTTTCTAGAATTAGAACCATGATGTGGCTATTCCTGATTATTATAAATTCCTTCAAACGATGTTTCCAGACGATGTCATGGAATGTGTTCTGATTTTGGTTGCCAGCACATAGCGTATGAGTACGCGAAGAAGGGGGCTCGCCTCGCGCTCGTGGGACGGCGGGAGAATTTGCTCATGGAGGTTGCAGACAGGGCGATAACGAGAGGGGCATCAGATGTGAAGGTCTTAGTCGGAGATGTCACGAAAGAGGCAGACTGCAAACGTTTTCTAGAAGAAACGATTCAAAAATATGGCCGGCGTACGAATTCTTTTCCCGTGTCATTAGAGAGTGTGATTCCTATCGACTGACATGTAGATTCATACTTCATGGCATTTACAGTGACAACTGTGCTAAAATTATTCTGTAAACCCTTGATCCTCGTTCATCACATGAACTTAAGTTGTTACTTGAATTTTACTCCAAGGAAACCAATATCGTTGGGTTTAGGCGTAAGAAATTGGAGATCTAGCTGATAACTTTCAAACCGTTGCATTGGGTTGTTTTGAAGCTGTCGATGAGAGGGAACTCACAAATCCTCGGTAGCTGGTTGAGCATTTGTGTGTTACTTTAGCAATCGATTCTCTTTCAACTGGGTGTTTTGATGATGCGTGAGTTGTGTAGTGGACCATCTGGTGAACAACGCTGGAGTTGCTCACAGCTTCTTCTTTAGCGAGACAAAGGATTTGAAGGCGCTGACATCAACTTTGGTAAAACTGGAAACTTCGTAATCGTTAAATGAAGTGTTATTTGAGTTTTGATTTAGAAGACGCCAACAACAAACTGATTCTGTTCAAGAAGTTGACTAGATTGTACCGAATAACGTCGTGAAGAAAATGAGACTAATGTCTGCAATCACACTCCAAGAGTAAAAAATGTAGAAATCACAGATGTTATGCCCTTGCTTTTGGAATATTGCGGAGGCGTTTTGTGTTGAAATCAATTGTAAGATTGATGCGGATAACTCAACAGGACACAACATTCTGGGGTCAAGTGTACATGACGTACTTTGCAATTCCGCATTTGCGGCGCACACATGGCAAGGTTCTCGTTATGGCGTCTACTGCGAGCTGGCTGCCATATCCACGGCAAACACTATACAATGTGAGTATATTTGTAAAAATAGTCACATCCAAATTACTTTTGTCAATGAGGGATTGCAATCGGGTACAATCGATGAAATCCCACTCTTTAGTTGGTGTCTGTTTCTTATATCACTATGGGTACGATTCAACCGCAACTTGTTGCTCACTAATTAATAGCATTTGCATTGAAGGCTGGAAAGGCAGGTGTGTTAGCTTTCTTTGACACATTACGAGTAGAGGTTGGTGACGTAATTGGTATCACCATAGTCATGCCGGGATGGATTGAAAGCGAGATCACTAAAGGCAAATTTATACATGAAGATGGCGACATATGGACAGACCAGATGGAACGAGACGTACGTCAGCTTCACTTTGATTTCTGTGGTTGTCCTATTGCCCTCGAGAGAGTGAGCACGCAATTCTGGTAGAGTGAGTAAGATTATTCCAAAGAATATTTTGTACAGACCTTTTAGGAGTTCATGGTTTTTAATTGCAAATTTTTCCGCGAGGCAAGCATATTTTTTAACATTATCATCAACCATACAATTCACCTCATGTAATATACTCACTAAATCAAAGACTCAAGAGTAATCAACGATATGTACTGTGCAGTAATCACCTTAAGGTTGTTGAGTGTAATGCTCTATTGAAAGATGCTGAATGTAAAGATGGTTTGTTGGTGCTGTGCAGATGCATATCGGTCCAGTGCCCGTGACATCGGTAACTGAATGTGCCAACGCTGCAGTGAAGGGCGTTATTAGAGGCTCCCATTATGTGACGGTTCCATTTTACTACTCTGCGTTTCTCTTATACCGAATGTTTGCTCCTGAAGTCTTGGATTGGATATTCCGACTTATTTTTGTTAAACATCCCCAGAAGCCTCTGAGCAAACAGGTACTGAAAGCCTCAGAGGTTCACAGGGTTTTGTACCCAACAAGTATTCAGAAGGCAGATTAAATCATCAGATCATGAGACAGGTTGATCTATTCAGAGCTTTAGAAGGTTCAAACATAAAATGGGAGCATAATTCATTTGAGATGTTACTGTTCTATTTGACTGCATCTCACATTGTATGTGATCTCCATGAGTAAAATTGGTGCTGCAATTTACTATCTGCAAGGCTCTGCAAGGAGGGCTATCCTGCATAACTACGTGAATGCACATCAGTTCTGCACTGCCCTTTAAGGCAATCAATGCAGACCATGCGGTGGTGATCATCCACCCATCCATCCGTCGTTCACTTGCACCAATTGTTGATTGTATTTCAGTCTAACTTTATAAGAAATATGTCTTCTTCACATCATGGCCAATTGTTGAACGGATAAAAGATTCCAAAAATATGATTGGTGGAGAGAAACAAATTGACGGCATGACCTTTACATAAGTAGGGGAACAACTGATGACCGTTTTGGTCAAAAGTGCCTAAATGACAAAATTTTGCGGCAATTCTGGGATCAAGGAATTGTTTGGTTGGCAGCATATTGTCCTAAACAAATTAATTTTTTTTATTGATAATTTGCATTTATTCCTTCACAAATTTATCAAATGCACAATAACACTGAAATTTATGAAATGCATCATAACTGATTTTTTTAAAGAACTACTTTTTGTAATTCTTGATAGTAGTAGATGCCACATATACCAAATACAAATCAAGTTTGCAAACAGTATTTTACATTACTATTTTTTCTAGCTCTATAAATTTATCTTAGCCAACTTGATTCTCTTTAAACTTTAAAATTATGTTCTCTACATTGAAAAATGTATGTATATATATATATATATATTTATAAAATTCTACTTGGACATGATTTTAATTGTCCAATTTATGCAAAGTAACTTCTTGTCTTTTTAAAGACTATACCTTTATACAAAATCTCTTTTCCAAATTGGATCAATGAATCTTTTTAATTTTATTTGGTTTTTTTCATTAAATATTTTTCTTCAATAAATTCTTATTTAAACTATTATATGTAAAAGCTGAAAATCTTAAAGAACCAATGTTTTTATTTTCATCAAAAGTTATGAATTTAAACTTACAAAATTATCTTAAGTTTCTATTTTTAAAATAATTTATTTAATGATAAAATAAATGACTGATTAATATTGTCATGATTAGAATAATAATTATGATACTTTAAAACTAATCAAGTATTGTCATATTTAAAAACTTATAATTTTTTTTTTTTTTTTTTTTTTTTTCTTGCAACTAATGTTGAATCAAATATATTATTCTTAATAGTGTTCGGCTTTTAGGCTCATATTTTTACAAACCATGAAGACTATTAAAATTTGTAATGTTAAATTTCTAAAATAAAAGATTGCTCATATGCACTTGGAAATGTATCAAAGTGGAAGTAATAATATGATTGCAGACACATTAATATAAATTTTAATGAATCATTTTTATTTATTAACTAATTTGTGACTACTAGTATTATTGTGGCTTTTGGAATAGATTTAAACATAGAAACACATCAAATAGATGTGAAAGGCATAAAACTAGATAAAACTTTGAAAAAAAACATATATATATATATATATATATATATATCTTCATGTATTATTAAAGAAGCAAGAAAGTGAAGAAGAAATAGATACAAGATAGAAAAGATCTTAATTGAACTACATTATATCCTATTTGTGATTAAAAGATAACAAGAATTAGTAATGGCAAGAACTTAAGAAAGATTTTTTAAGAAGTATCTTGTTCTATAAAAAATCTTACAATGACCATAAAAGTTAAATCAACCTACATTTCTTACTTATAAATAAAAGATATTAAAACTAAAATATTACATAATGTTTTGTATTTTGTTGCAGTTATTTGATTGATGTGTCTTGTGTTTGTAATTCTTTTTGTTTTATCTCTGTACAACATAGAATTATTTGTTACTTTAACAATACAAATGTTTCTATATACAGAAGACCTCAAAACTTTGGTAGGTAGTTAACAAGTATAAATAGTAACACAAAAAAAAAATCATTGTCATAAATTTACATCATATAAGATACATAAGTAGATACTATTATTACAAAACAATTATTTTTCAGAAAATATAAGTATTTGGCTACAAGGTTAAATATAATGTATTGAATTATAGCTATTGTAATAATAAACTATACAAATAAACTATTTTCTTTTCAAAGAAATATTAGTACTCATTGAATTTAATTTGTTAGATTTCTATTTGTATTTTTAAGTTATTTTTTAATCCTAGAGGTTTTGATACAATTATTCTAAAATTGCTCAAGAAAATTATAACCATCTATTAATAACACTTCAATTAAAAAAGAATTAAAAATTTCCAAATAAACAACAATAGTTTAAAAAGAAATAATGCATCAAAAATTCAAAATCTTTGTTTTTTTGTGTAATTTATGTAATGTTCAATAAAGTGAAAATATTTTATCACATTTATTGTATGAATATAAAGATATGAATCTTTTTGTATCCTAAATGTCAAATTAAAAGTATTATTTTCCACATACTTACTAAATTAATTATCTTAAATTAAAATTAAGAAATATCCTGAGAAATTATAGTTTATTATTCAGATCTCTTGTTTGTAAAGATTATAAATACACACACACATATATACATATATATATATATATATATATATATATATTTAGTATTTTTAGATCTGTTGTTTATACATATTTATAAAATACATATTCAATGCAAACATTACTCAAATATTCATGACCAAGAATACTTGAACAGCACATGAAAATAAATACATTTTTATTAAATAATTATAGTTATTCAAGCTAAACTATTACATGAAAATCAAAACTCATAAAAGACTTTAAGATAAAATCTGACAATCAGATTGTTCCATCAAATGACCATGCTAAGAGTCACAAAACAATGGTATGCTGTTTATGCCATTTCAAAACACAGAATTCTTTTGAAATTGACTCTGAAGCCACAATCGAAGCTCCTCTCGTAGTTCGTGAGGCGATGGGATTATGATCTATTCTGACTTGCTCGTAGGTAGAGTCTTTCCCTTGCCAGCAGTCATGGTAGTTGAAAGGTAAAAATTCCAAAAGATGGAACAGGATGACATGAACGCCACTCGAGCCTGTAGCGGAACCACACTGCAGAACATACAATTCTTGCATTAGAGGTGCGTTACTGAAGAGGATGAGAAATTGCCTCGTCCTGATGTCCAAAATCTCCAAAAATTCACATTCGAAACCATATACAAGGCGGAAAATCAGATTGAACTGGCAGAATTCAGATTTAATGCAGGATTGGGTTTTCTTCCCCTACTCCTGAACTTCAGTACTTCAATTCTAAAAAGAATAACTGGTACTATCATAGAGGGAAAAGCTTAAGAACACACTAACAGGTTGTCATTTACATAAAGAAGTTGGCATAAAAAATAAAATTTACTTAAGAAAAATTTAAGAAATCAAATAAAAATTTAAAAAACTTAAGGAAGTATCTGCACATATTTGGGATCCGTTCCTTAACTATCAAGAGCATGAGAAGACCCGGGTCCTCATATGACGATGAACTTACCCGAAATTGAGTACACTTGCTGGTATCCAGAACTTCCAACCTGCCCATAGAAAATAGTTGTAGGTTTCAGTAAAAGAAAAAGTACAAAATGCATAAGAGACATATTATGCATTAGAACAGGAAACTAGAATTTCCATACCATCAAGAAGAGTTTGAAGAGCACGAGTGCGGTAGAGGGTAGGAAGCTGCTCAAGACGGCCTTCCCAAAGTTTGTTCCATGCGAAGACAAGTGTGATAACAATAGGACCCAATATCACCTGATTGGCGACGACCTGAGAAAACATAGCAAAGGTGAGAAACCTATAGCTTTAAAATAAAATTAAAACGATTATCACTGCAGATGGAACTACATTACGGTTCAAGCAAGAATCAGATAACTAAGAAACAGAACATTACACAGATGGTCACAGATATCACACATATGATCAACAAAACATAAAAACGATGCTAGTAAAACATACCAAAACCAACTGTGGCACTTGTGCTACCTCAGCTAATATTCACAGTAAGCATATGTCATTTGGACGTCTTGTAACAGGAAAAGTATTCAGATTTGATTTTCAGAAATTTGTTTATTGGAGTTCGCATGACAGCAAATGAATTGACCAGTCTTTGGTGGAATGGAGAAAAAAAACCTTGAGTGAGAGATTTGTCAAATTCTTGACTGGCATGAAGTGATCAAGAACCTCATACCACACCTGTGATAATGGCCCATATATCAGAAACCCATAACTTGCCATGCGGGCCGCTCTTTGCCAATCATGATCCCAAAGATTCACGCTGCCTGTAGCCTTCACATAAACCACATGTCATGTTTCTGAAAATAAATAGGGTAACAAGACACCGTCGGAAAAACTTGAAGCATGCATGATTAGTATAAATGCCGTCAATAACTCATATCATTTTGAGACTTTTCCCAGGACTGCGATTCTAATCGGCCGCGAACTCCCCTTAAACACTACTCTTATGTTACGGGACTATCATTCAAAATGTCATGTTGCAAGATTCAAAAATATTATGCGCCACTTTATAGATTCTCGAAAATGTCACTACAGTTATATACGAATAATTTATATAATTCTATCGGCACACACTACAATGGAGAATGTTCTTTAATTCGATTTTCTAGTATAGTCAATTACTCGATAAGTTCTCGTGTCATCACAGCAGAAATAAACCTTCTAGGAAATTCCAGGCGTCGGGTAGACAAGAACACAATACGAACGAAAAGCACTTACAGCTAAATTCTTTGATGCAAATAATCCCACGGAATCAACAATAATTGCGATTAGTCCACTGACTGCTATCGTTCCATACCCACCCTAGCAATTGTATGGTAAAAACCCTTGAAAAACCGATCAGTGGATTCTGACCTTCTTTAAAACTATTACTTGCAACCCTAAACCTTGCACCATTCCCGCCTAACTAATCCAGAAACTCAGAAACAAACCAAGCAACCACAGCAACCAGCTCATTCCAAGTGCACATTGCAAATACCCAATAACCTGATTTCCAATTGTAAGTCCGCCAGCCACATCCTCCGCAACTCTCTGCTGTTCCTCCAGCACCTTGCGCCGCTTGTAGCGAGCAACGAGCTGCGCTATAGTGTCTCCAGTGGTGGCCAACACACTAGCGGTGACTGCGGCCTTGAGAGGAAATCGCAATTGTTTCTTAGGCTGGGATACTCCTCCATTATCACCAAACCCAGTGTCCCCCTGCGAAGCATGAGGGGTTCCACCAAACGATGAAGGGCCCAGCAGATTGGAAAGGCGGAATGACATGCTACCGGCTCTAGACCAGGGAGATCCTCCACCCACCATTGCGACGGGCGGCGCGGTGCCCTGCGTGAACAGTGGACAAAGTTGCAATAACAATAACAACAATGGGGGCGGGAAAGCGAACCAGGAAATGGTAGGTTGTGTTATGGAGCAACGCAGGGCAAGTCTCACTACCCAACTACCACCGACGGAAGGAAAGCATTACCCATCATCATCTTCTTCTTCTACTACATCATCATCCTCGCCAAGCAAGCATGCTCGAGCAATATCTATCTATCTATCTATATGTACACACACATACACATATAATGCATACTCTCTCTGCCTGGCCTGGCTGGGGCTCTCTCTCGCTCTCAGTTTGTATTTCTGTTTACTTCTCCCCCTTCGTTTGGGGTCACAGAGAATCCACCCCCGTCCTGTCTGAATGATTAAATTATAAAATTTATGTTCATCCAAATGAATAGCTCAAGCAAGTTCAAAAAAATAGTCAGCTTGCTTGTTCACATGAAAGAAGAAAAATGTATGGAGAATAGAGAAGCCAATATAGAACTCACAAGAGAACATATCAAGCTTGTGAGAGGAGGAAGGTGAGAGAGGATGACGATGAATGATAATTTTGGGAGAATCTTAAATGAGTGTAAGAAGGGCTGAGTCCAAAGTCATGGGGTCCATCCAAAGTCATGGAGTCCACCTAAAGTTACATTTTTTAGTTATCTTCTTTAATTTTTAATAAGAAAAAAAAAAACCCCTATTTTGGCTAAAGTTAAAAATAATAAAGAAAAGTATGTACTACAATTATAGGAAGTGTATATATATACATACATAAATATATTTTACATACAAGGACCTAATATGATTCATCAATAATATTAGAATTTATTCTTTAACCATTAATCCACATGAATTTTTTTACTTTGATGCCTACAATTGTGACTGAAAGGCAATAAAAGAATTCTAAGATATTATCAAATTCACCTACTTGTACTTACTTCTATGTAATTCTTCTTTATAAGTAATTACTAATGAGCGGTAACAATTCACTCCTCAATATAAATTATACAATAATTTTAATCAAGATTTACTTATAATTAAAACTATAAAGTAAAAGAAGCAAATAACAAGAAACAAAAAACAAGAAACAAAGAAAAAAAATACAACACAAGTGAAAGAATTGGAATCAAGCAATTATACAATACAAAAGTAGTCATAATTTTTTCATTGGAGTTTTTATCATGTAAAAAATAAAAAGTAAAAGTAAAAAATATATTTTTAGATATGTAATTTTTTGTCTTTATATTGACATAAAATACATTAAAAACAAAGTGACAATAAATAAGTTATGATAATTTTAAAATATAAAATATAAAATATATTTTATATTAATTATAATTTATTTAAGAGATTAGGAGATTAAAGAGATCAAGGCATAAAAATAGTGTAATAAAGTATTCTAGAGAGGCCACAAGACCTTAGTTTATCTTAGACTTATCTTCTTTCCTCCAAAAACTATGTAAGTAGTATAAAATATGCCATCTTAGTAAAACAATATACTAATACAAATATAGAGTCATAAGAGCTCAAAATTAAAAGATTTAAGATGAAATAAATAGAAAAAAAATGACCATGGTTGTGCTAATATATATATATATATATATATATATATATATACATAATGATTAGAAAAATCTATACGATTGATAACAAAGATTTTTATTTTTATTTTTATTTGTATCTTGAATAAAAATAATATGATAATATAAAATTTTTTAATAATTTTTATATTTAAAAGAACCATAAATTTTTTGAGATTGATTCCAATATATCATTGTATCTAAAATGTCTTGAACCTAAATAATTGTTACGAGCTTGAAAGTCATATGATTGTGCTTTACTTTTTGGAACTAATAAACATCCTTTAGAATAGAAAAGATTGTCCTTGAATTAAAACTTAGAAGTATCATGGAATTTAGAAGAATGATTTATAATATCATTTATAGAAGGATTTTAAGACATACTTAGTTAAATTTAATAGAAAGTATCAAATAAATAATTAATATTAATTTTATTAATTAAGAATGAAATTATTTTGGCTTAAGAAGAATTATTTTTTATTAATCACAAATTGCATTTCTTTCTTTTGGTACAAGATAAAAACATTTGAAAAGTTCATCTAATAAACTTTATTATTTTTCTATGCAATAAATAATACTACGTACAAATCTTAATGAAGACATATTCTAATAAGTTTGGTAATAATTCAAAATATGTGTTGGCCTATTATACTTGCAATTCTAATAATCTATATAAAAAATCATTGGATTAGAAGGGTCTTTTAGATAATGGTATTATTCTTGAAATAAATCCATAATTACAAGAAGTTCTTTGTTATTAATCTTATAATTGATCTTAATTATTAAAAAGTTTTTGAATGAAAAGCTATAAAATAAAGATTATAAAATACTTCTATTATATTTAAGGAAAAATATAATGCATCCAGTTCATAAAAAATGCATTACAAAAATCAATGTAATATAAGGTTGGGGATGCAATAAAAGTTATCTTCAATACTTCAAATATTCTCTTATTTTTTTTATTCTATTCAAATTTGTCTTTAAAAGTCAAATATATAATTAGAATTGTAACTTGAAAAATAAAATTGATGAAGATTTAATAGTAATTGACAAACTTCAAAAAATATTTGATGTCCTTTATTGTTTTTGAAATTATTTCATCTATGATAGTTTGAACTTCCTTTGAATTTGTATAAATAAAATTCATCTTTCAAACCAAATTATAACATATTTTTAATTTTTAATTTTATCTAATTTTTTTTATAATTAGTGGTATAAATTAGTAGATAAAATAATAAGAAAAAATAAAATAATATAAAATAACTAAAAGAATTTCAATCAAGTAATTATACACTATAAATCTAGTTATAATTTATTTATTAGATTTTTATCTAATAAAAATTAAAAATATATGATAAAAATATACTTCTAAATACTTAATTTTAGTATCTTTTTAATGACTAAAGAAACATAAGTATTTAAATTGTTATAAAAAAATTATAAAGATTTCAAAAAAAATTAAATAATAAAAATTTAAGAGATTAAATTTTATTAAAAAATAACTTGTATAAGAGATCAAAGATTCAAGCTTCAATAAAGTTCATAACTAATACTTCAAGGTGTTTTTTAAGAGGCCTCAATATCTTAGTCTTATCTTCTTACTTACATCCAAGATAGGACAATCCATATAAGACTTGTGAACCTTTCTTTTCACAAGAACTATTATCACGGATATACATATTTACTCTAATATTTATCTATATGATTAAATAGAAGTAGATAAAAATATATTTATTTCATAATATTTTATAGAGAAGCTTTGCAGATGCTTCATAGATACTGTTTTGACTTTACTTATATTTTTAGTATTGAAGAAATAGAACTTTGAAGTTACAACACATAGTATCAAGAAGGTTGTACATAAAGAGAGTATGGAGTAAGATATCTCTTACTTCCAACATCCAATACTTATAGGTTGTGGTTGTTGCCCTACAAGACAACTTCTACTTATTGACTTTTACACACATGATCTTTGGTCCTAGGATCCTATGGTATCTAATGTATGTCAAGGATATCATATGGTCCTTGGATCCTTTGGCATCTTGCTAACCACAAAGGTATCCTATGCCAAACAATAATTACTCTTATCTAGTATTTGAATATTCTTTAGTTTATATTTTATTCTCTTGACTTTGATTCTTGGTCCTTGACCTCATCCTATATCCATAAGATACCATTTCTATATACCAAGAGTCAATCTTTTGACCATTATTAACTTACCTAAGATAATATCTTATACAAGGTAAGTTATTCTTTTTTTCTCTTTTATTTCAATATGTAGTTGATTAATAGATTAGAAACTTCTTCAACAAACTAACCATGTATTGATAGCTTACGAAATAAGTTAACTTTGTGGCTCACATATAAAAAACTTGTAAGTTAAGATATATGTCTTGCAAAGTCAATATATTTTAGAAGTCCTATAAGATATTGCCACGTAGTTCCTACTTAAGAGTATATATAGAGGCAAGAGTGAAGCCTTCTTTACTCTTGTCAATAACTTTTGTCAAGGATATAAATCTTGAAGAAAGAAATCTTCAATATATTCTTCTGACATTAAAAAGAATTAAAAAGTTCTTAAAAGATGATATATTATTGAACTAGAATGGCTATTGTCAAAAATAAGAAGACTAGAAATTTTAGAAACAAGATTAATAACTAGAAAGGCATTGACAAAAGTGAAGAAGGCTTTATTCTTGCCTCTATATATATTCTTAACTAAGAGCTACATAGCAATGTCCTATAAGACCTCTAAAACATGTTGACTTTGTAAGACATGTATTTTAACTTGCAAGGCAAGTTTTTAATATATGCACCACATAGTTAGTTTTTTTTGCAAGTTACCAATACATGATTAATTTGTTGACCAAGTTTCAAACCTATCCATCAACTACAAATACATGTAAAGTCAAAGTAGCATCTATGAAGCTTTTAAGAAGCTTTTCTAGAAGGTATTATGAAATTAATCTACTTTTATTTATTTTTACTTATTTCTACTTAATCATATAGATATTTTCTAGAGTACCTATATATATCCGTGACATTATCATCCCTTCTAAATACAAGTTCCATAAAAAGTAGTTATCATATATTGATGAAATCTAAGATTCAATGAATTGTATTTGCTACATATTCTAATTTTTGTTCTCTTCAAAGATGGTTGATAGGTCTTCTTAGCTATTGGTAGTGTTCCATACTAGAGTAAGAAGACCATCTTATTATTTGATCATTGTTGAGACCTTCATAACTTCCTTTGAATAAAATATTTGAAACATCGTTAGAAATTTGTTCCTACTTCTAATAAAATCACCAAACATTGGGACTCTCTTCCAAGGCCATGATACCAAATACTTTATAGCTTGCTATCTATTCAAGAAAAGATATATTATTCTTAAAGATCTTCATCTTGATTATGTCATCTTGAAGGTTCTGACAATTATAATGTCTCATTAGATAAGTCAACAAAAGAAAGCTTTTTAATTGAATCTATTGGTTGTTTGTTCTCCATGTCTTTAGTATGACAAATATATAGAAGTTACAACGAAGGATAGAAAGTAGAGTATTATCTTCTTTTGACTCTTATTTTTTTATAGTAAAGATTTTCTATTCTTTATCTTGGTTTTGATGGATATTATTGATAAAAACCTTCAATTCTCTTTGTTGTATTTACAAGATTCTTTGTTGCCTTCCATGTGCATTTATTAATATCATATCCATATCAATGAA